GTTCGATCCTCAGTACCAAAAAAAAAAAAAAAGAACCAGTGTGTACAAGAGTATCATGGGACCACTGAGGCCTCAACTTGTCTGAGATTTGTTTCTGCATGCCATAGCTGGCTCTCAGGCAAGGTGACATTAGATATTAGACAGCTAAGCCATACTTTATGTAGTAATTTCCCCCCCACATTATGTAGAATGGCTCCTGACACCACTGAAGTGTGTGTATTTTGGGGGGAGGGTGACTGAGAATTGAACCCAGGGTCTTCACACTGAGCTATATCCCAGCACCTTTTTTTTTGGTTTCGTGGATCGAACTCTGGTCCTTGGACTTGTGGGTCAGGTGGCAGAACCACTGAGCTAAATCCCCTGCCCCCAGCACCTTTTTTATTTTCAATTTTGAGATAGGGTCTTGATAAGCTGCTAAGTTGCCCAGGCTGGACTGAAACTTTCCATCCTTCTGCCTCAGCCTCCCAGAGCGCTGGGATGACAGGCCTGAGCCACCACACCTTTGTGTATTTTTAAAAAGTGAAATTCATGATATATGGACTGTATCTCATTTTTTTTTTTTTTTTTTTGGTACCGGGCATCGAACTCGGGACCTTGCCCTTTTGAGGCAGGCACCGGAACCACTGAGCTAAATCCTCGACCCTGTATCTCATTTTTAAAAAGAGGACTATATTAAGGTTTCCTGTAGAAGTGGCTCACTCTCCTGAAAGCTGGAGATTGCCCACAGCATCTGTCCTTCGGGGGAAGGGAGGGACAACACTTCCAACCTGGGGTCCCAGAGGAGGAGGTACGGGGGGGGGGTAGGACAGCGAAGTAGGAGGTGAGAGGAAGAGGGCTTTCTGGTGGGCTCGAAGGCTCTGGTTTTCCCCGCGGAGAAGCAGGCCCAGGGAATGGAGGTGTTCGGCAGGGGCAGGGACTTGGGAATTCAGGGCCTAGTTCCCAGGGGGCTCCAAGTGGAATCAAAGGGCGCCCCGTGACGCATGGGAGGGCTGCTGAGTAATTCTGAGGTTGGAATCCCACCTTGGTGGTTTCGCATCTCAGCCGCAGGGCCTGAGTGAGCCCTTTGTGGGCTGGGGAACACTGGGCCATTGACGCCTGTCCCTGGGGGCGGGTCTCGGCCCGGGCTCCCCCTCCAGGCACCCTGGACCCTGGGCCCACAGAGGGTCAGCCCCAGTGGGGGGAGTGGGATGCAGAGAGGGGGTGCCCCGCCCAGGGACGCCAGCCCCCGCACCTTGCTGTCTCTGGGCTGGGGACCCTAATTGGTCGGGACCCTAGAAAGGTGCTGGGCATGGCCGAGGGCATTGGCCTTGCAGTCAACTCTGACTTTTCCACACTGCTCACAGCTGCGTTTCAGGCTCTGTGTCCCAGCCAACTCCCTGCTTGCAGTGGCCCAAGGGCTGCCCACTGTGTGCGACCCACAGAAGGCCGGATGTGCCTGAGGATGTCAGTGGGTTTGACATTCAAGGCTAGTACGGAGGGAGGTCATCTGTGTCACAGGCGCCAAAGGTCACAGGGCTGGACTTCCTGCTACGTGCTCTCTGGGGACTTCCTGGCTGGGAACTGTCCCCAGGACCCCAGGCTGCAGACCTGCTGGGGTCTCACGGCGGGGTGTGGCCAGGCACAACACACCGGACCCCGGATCTCGGTGGGACATTGTCTCCAGCCTGCCCTGGCCTTTCAGCTCCCCCTGAGGTCTTGGTCAACTCCTTCGGTCTCTTTCCTTTGTCATCAAGGTCCCTTGACCAACATTTTCCCTGCACAGTGGACCAATGTACACCCCAGGTCTGGCCACCTGTTTTGCATTATCAAATGAAACATGTCAGCTAAGTGTGGTGGCGACGCTGTCGTCTCAGCACTCTAGGAGGCTGAGGGAGGAGAATCACAAGAGCAAGCCCAGCCTGGACAATTTAGCAACTTAGTGGAAATGCATCTATCAGGGTGCCACTGCATGGAGATTCAGTCAATTAAATATGATGCCTGCCCTCCAGGTACTCCCAGCCCTGGCGAAGTATGGTATGTGTAGTTCACAGGCAGAGGCTCCCGTGTGCGGGGAGGCTCGGCCTTCTGTGCAGAATGAGGGAGTCTCAGCTTTACCTGGAGGGCCAAGGTGGGGAGGAGGCGCGGGCCTGGGCGAGGACGGGCAGGCAGCAGCACCAGGAGTGACGCAGAGGTTCTTCCAAGAAAACCAAGCAACCACGGGGACACCGACTCCAGGTGGCTCCACCCCCGGGTCCCCTCCTGTTTCCCCTCAACGCAGTGTGCGAGCGGAGCAAAGCCGGGAGCCTGATCCAGCACGCATGAAGCAGGAGCACACTGTGTGCCCCTGATGAGTGAGGATGCACGAGTCCTGCGGAGTCGCAGTCCGCGTCTGCCGGACAGGTGTGCGCCTCTTCTAAACTGCTTGCTGCCCCCAGAGCCACCCCCAGTTCCTGCTGTTTGTATGATGGAATCCTTGGGCCTCATCTCTCTTCCCCTGGCCAAGTGCAAGCCCATGGCCAAGGCAAGCCCAGCAGGAGGAGCTAGGAATAGGGAGACAGAAGAGAGTTGGAGTCCATCACCCACTGCCAGCTGCATTCCTTTCCCTTTCTCCCCCGCCCCACACTGGGGATTGAACCCAGGGCCTTTGTGCTGAGCCATGTCTCTAGACACCCCCCCCCCTTAATTTTGAGATATGGTCTAAGTCACTAAATCGCCCTGGCTGGGCTCCAACTTGGGATTCTCCTGCCTCAGCTTCCCAGAATACTGGCTTTACAGGCATGTGCTACCACATCTAGCCTGGATTCAGTCTTAGTCTTAACAATTATGAATTAAGAACATCACGTTTATAAGAAAAATGAAACCTCTTGGCTTATTACAATATTTATATCATCTTATATGGTTATAGATCTGCTCACATTTTTGTCTCTCTCCGGCATGTTTGCCTCCTAGGCCACACCTGCAGAGACACAGGGACACGCAGAAGCGTTTCTGCTCAGCTGCTGCTTGCATGAGCTGACTGCCTAGATCGTCACTACCAGGTCGGAGAGCAGGTGCCAGCCAAGGGCCCCCTCTCCTCACAGCCAGCCCCGCTCTGGGGCTGGTGAAACGGGAGCCGCCAGCTGGTTTTCACCTGGGGAAGAGGAGTCCAGACTCCACAGCCCTCAGTGGCTGCCCCAACGTGCCGTTTCCCTCCCACCTCCCAGCCTGCTAGGCTCGTCCCTCAGGTCCCCTCCCTGCCACGCCTTTCCTGCACCTGCAGCTCTGCCCTCTCCCAGCTGGCCCAACACCCTTTGAGGGCCGGTGAGTGCAGTGGCCGCCCAATCTCAGCAGCTGTCCCCACTGTGGCTGAGGTGGGCGTTAGTGTCTCGGAGCCACTAGGCTTCTCTAGAGAGCATGAAGTGGGTTATGTCGCCACCTATTGCCTGATTGGCTCAGCAGAAGTCAGCCGCGCCCTCTGCCTATGTCCCCAGGGGAGAGTGTGAAGATCCTCAAGGGAAGACAGCTGAGCCCTCACGGCCCAGCGTGCTGGGGTGGAAAGAGAGCTCTGTCCATGGGAGCAGTTACTTGAGAGCAGCAGAGCACACAAGGTCTCCTTCCCCTTCTCTCCAGGCAGGGGTGGACACCCTGGTGCCATTCAGGCACACGTGTGTGGGAAGGGGTGGCCACTGGTCTTCCTGCAGTGTGGGCCACACAGGGCCCAGTCAGCAGGGCCGCAGCACGGTTGGCTGCAGAACGCAACAGAGGGCTATAGGCTGTGGGCCCCCCCGCCCCCTGCTTCTGAACCCCATGGCCACATGGGAGCCGGGCATTTTTTGCAGGGACTGTGCATGTACCACTGAGCCATATCCCACCCCCTTTCCTTTCTTTTTTGGTATTGGGGATTGAACCCAGGGTCTTCACACTGAGCTACATTCACGGCCCCTTTTTCATGCTTTAGAGCTGGGATTACAGGCATGTGCCACCACTTCTGGCCTCAGAGGCTCTTGAGAAATTCACTGTCTGGGGTCTGCTACTCCAGCAGGTGGCTGGAGGGAGGGACAGGAGTTGTTAGGCAGCGGCGGCCTCTTCTCAAGGCAGAGGCAGCCTGTCTAAGCTCACAGTAGCAGAGTGTGGACAGCCTCCCGGTTGGGGTGCACACTGCCCTCCAGCAGACCCTGGGCCGGCTGGGTCCTCGCCCCAGTCCCAGGCCATGAGAGACAGATATGCCCTGGAGTGGTTTCTGAGGGGGTGGCAGGAGGGGGAGCAATTAGAAGAGTGAAGCCAATGTGTGGCCTTCCTAAAACAGGCTCAAGGGAATCCAGGGGTGTGGAAACCTGGACGTTCAGGGAAGGTGATGTCTTTGGGATGGAGACCATTTCAAAGGAGTGAAGTCAGATCCAGTCAGGACAATGAAATGTCCGCTGGGTCTGATGCCCGAGCTGGTTGGCAGAGAGGTGGCCGGGAGCCATCAAGTGGAGAGGAACCTCCGGGAGACACAGAGCAGCACTGTAGACAGGAGACGGGTGAGCAGGGTTAGGGAGGGCACAGGAGCGGCAGGTGGTGCTGCTGCTGTGGGCAGAGGCTGAGGGCAGAGCAAGTGGGGCCTTCAGGGAAGACCTGGAGATGCACTGCGAGGGTGACCCAGGGGGACAGGGGCCACGTGGGGTACAGTACCCAGAGAGATGTGCAGAGTAAGAACCCGGTTCTGCTGGGGGGCCAGGCCCCACCCCTGAGCTGGGCAGGGAGCCCCCAGTGTCCAGGAGTAGGAGGATTAATTGGCTTGGAGGTTTCTAAATGACTTGCCTTTGTTTTTTGGTATGGGGGATCGAACTTGGGACTTTGTACTTTTGAGGCAGGCGCTGGAACCACTGAGCTAAATCCCCCCTCACCCCGTCACTGTATTATTAAGTGAAGGGGGCGGGGGGCTCAGCTCCAGGAAGCAAACGGATGCCCTTTCCCGCTGTGCTCTGCCAGGGCCTCTGCTTCACCTACAAACTTTAGATGTTTAGCTGAATTCTCACAGTTCATCCTACTGGGTCTTGCAGGACAAGGGAATGTTTATTTACAACAAAAACATTTGTAACATAATTCTATCTTCAAAACAGAACCCAGGAGCACACACAAAGCAATCTCTATTTGTATTTACCTTGGGACATGAGCACCCGGAAGTGGGGCTGGGACTGGGAGACATGCCAAGGACTAATTCTACTTGAAAACACAAGAAATTGCCTTTTAAAAAGTGGCAGTTTTCTACTTGTCAGTAGCTATCCTTTCCCTGGCTGCCTGTGAAACACAAAATAGAAACAGCACCTGGGAAAACACAGGTGAGCCCAGGGGTTGGGGATGGGGTGTGGCGGGCTGGGAAGGTCCCCGAAGGCAGTGGTCCTCACACTGGGAGCTCTTGCCAGCAGCAACTCACAATGCCAGCAGCCCACGCCAGATCACTTGCTGCAGTTAGGTGAGGAATCTAGGAATTAAACAGAGCCATTAGAAAGCTGACAGCGGAGCAGGCACAAGGCGATGCTACCAGGTGCAGGCACCGCTGCTGCATACAGGAGTAGGCCGGCTCCTGGCTTACACGATGGGAAGCTGGAGTCAGCTGTCTATCATCCATCAGGCAGCTCTGGGAACTGCTGCCCATCGGCATGGTGCCTCTGAAATGCCCAAGAACACAGGATAGGACCTCAGAAAATCTGGACAGAAAGGTCCCTAAGAGATCATCCAGGGCAGCTTCATTTTTCAATTGAGGGCCCAAGATAAATGTCTGCTTTTTCCCTTCCAATACTAGGGACTGAACCTAGGGTCTTCACACTAAGCTACATCCCTGGCCTTTTTTTTTTTTAATTTCAAGACAAGATCTAAGTTGCCTAGGCTGACCTCGGACTTGCAATCCTCCTGCCTCAGCCTCCAGAGTGCTGGGACTGCAGGTGTGCACCATCATGCCCAGCTTAAATACATACTTTCTGATATAGCAGGGCTTCCTTGGTCTTTCTCCACTGGTCCTCAGGCAGTGACCACATGTCCTTACCATCTGAAGACCAGAAAGATGCCCAGGGAGCCCCAAGGAGCAGCTGCTTTTCACAGGACACCACAGAACCCCTCGCCATGCTTGGGCAGCTCAGGCCCTCAGGATGTGACCAAACAAAAAGCCTGGAGGAACCACCTCAGACCCCTGGCCTGGTGTGACAGAGGCCCAGGCCATGGCTTTAGTACTGGGCACGGTGGGGTTCTGAAGTCAGTGCTCCCAGCCTGCACAGGGCCATTACTGAGGGGAGGAGAAGCAGCAGCCTGGGCTGCATTTCCTCGGGTGTGTTTCCATCTTGCTTCTGGTTCACGTCCAGCAACAAACGTGATTTTTGTGCTAGCCACACCACGGTCCTCCACTGTATAATCACTGAGTCTCTGCTCCGTGCCTTTTTCTTTTGGTGCTGGGGATTGAACTCGGGTCCTTGCACTTGCAAGGCAGGCAGCGGAACCACTGAGCTAAATCTCCGGTCCTCCATGCCTTTTATAACAATTTACTGAAAATGCGGCACCAGTGAAATTCAACTTACAAATATGAAAGTCGCCACCCTTCTGCAGCTCTCTCATGGGACAGAGATGAACAAATATAAAACAAGTGCAGGGCGTGGGGGTCCAAGGCAAGGTTGCTCCTGGGCGCAGAGTAACCAGCTGACCTCTCTGCAGAGGACCTGCACGGGACTGAGCTCTGAGACTGGATGGGAAGAGCTTTTGGCACTGCAGTGACATGCTGCAAAGGCCCGGAGCAGGAATGTGGCAGGAGCCAGTATGGCGGAGCCGGGTGAACATGGAGAAAGTCAGGAAAGCATGCAGACCTGTGCTGGGTCTCGAAGGGCTGCAGATTCTGTTCGGCGCAGTGCAAGTCCACGGGAGGCTCTCAGAGAAGGAGGCAGGATGCCACTGACACCATCGGAGGACTTCGCTGCTCTGTGGAGCCCACTGTGGGGCTAAGAGCAGAAGTGCAGAGGATAGGCTCAGTAAGGCAGTGGTGAAGGGTGGCAGCTTCTATTCTCCTTGTAGCCCTTCACTTCCCATTACTTCTCAGCCCACAGACCCAGGCTGCCACATTGTCCGACTCTGCTAAGACCACTTCGCTGAAGAGTTCAGGCGGAGGCAGAGCTGATGCCCGCTGCTGAGGTCCCAAGAATGCCTTGGGCCCTCCAGACCAACTTGTTGGCCAGGTGAAAAACATAGGAAACCTCCGAGGATGCCATGCAGAGCAGAAGAACCACCCGCTGAGCTCAGCCCAAGTCCCTGCCTTCCAACACTGGGAGGTTACAACAAAGTGGCGCTTGTTTTAAGCCACTAAATATTGGAGTAGATTATTACACAGCAAGGTAGGCAGAACAGGAGGAAATGGAAGTAAATATTATGGTAAGCGTTTTATGCTATACCTGATTTGGAATATTATTTGAAGGCACACTGTGTTTACTTAAAATTCTATACTGACACAAAAAAGTTGCATATTGGAAACCCTAGAGCAGTGATGGCAAACCTTTAGAGTTTTCAATGATACAAACAGCCCACTGTGGCATGCATGCCATGGTTTTGCCACCATTGTCCTAGAACAACCACTAAAACCATAATGGTACAATTAGCAAGCAACAGAAGAGATAAAAAACAGAACACTGAAGACAGGCAAAAAACCCAAAATGCAAACCAAAACAATTCGGTCCAAAAGGAAGCCAGGAACGGTAACACACACTTGTAATACCAGCACTCTGGGAGGCTGAGGCAGGAGGATTGCAAGTTCCAACGTGGCCTGGGTGATTTAGCAAGACCCCACCTCAAAACAAAAACAAGGGCGGGAGACGGAGTTCAGTGCCAAGGCCCTGGGTTCAATCCTCAAGAAGAAGAAAGGAAAAAATGAAACAAACACTTACACAGAGCCTTCCTTCTCTGAGACAGCAGCATCTGCCATCCCTCCTGCCCAGCAGGGCACACGTGCCCTTTCCTCTCTCAGCCAAGATTCCAAAAACACCAGTGGCAAGGCATGTTTGGTGGCTCGAAGGACCCGACTTACTCCTCAGGTCACAGCCGTCTCACTCCGGATCACTCTTCTGCAGCCAAGGTCCTCCATCTTTCCAAGGCCTTGCTACCCTTCCGGGTGACGCTGGGTACAGCGGGGGCTCTGGGCATCTGAGTTATGCAAGGTCCTGCAGACACAGTGTACTCAAGAAACACCTGGCAGGAGCAAGAGCCACCCGGCTGTGCAAGCCAGCCATGTGCCCTTGTGTGGCCAGCAGCCAGGAGAGAATGGCATGGGCAGAGCCACAGACTGGCCCTGGGACAGGCCACACAGGATGCAGAAATGTCAGCAGCTCTGTCCTGTCTGACCCCAGCACTTTGGGAGTAACAATCTCACCAAAACCTCTCTGGTGCAACCAACAGAGAACTCAGCCTGGGCCCACACCAATCCTGAGTAACTGAGTCCTTGCAGGACGCTCAGGGTCAACCAGGAGTGGAGCAGAGTGTGCTGGGAACAGAAGCAGCACAGCAGCAGAGCCCAGCTCACTGCCCCGCCCCGATGCCTGGCACCCCAAGTCTTAGACTGATCTTGCTGAGGTTCCGCTGCCCCTCCTCCTCCTCTCCTTGCCACGCCAATAGCGCCCCTAGCTCTTCTCTCTCAAGCATCAAGCAGCCTGAGGAAAACAAGAAATTCCTTGCAGCTTATGAAGAAGAGTAAATTTAGTTTCCTTCACCTTAGTTTCTCTCACTCAGTTCAGCTAAAGGCTTTTTATTACAAAGCATCTGTCAGTGATTTGCTTAGGGAAAGATGTGTTTTCCTGCTTAGGAGGAAGGCCGTTCTCAGGCAACCAGGTGGAGCTGCACACTGTGTTTACTCCTGCTACATAAAGATTCAATGGCAGCTGGCTGTGGTGGCACAGGCTTGAAATCCCAGCACTTGAGAGGCTAAGGCAGGAGGATTGCATGAGTTTGAGACCAGCTTGAGCTACATCGTGAGTTCAAAGCCACCTTGAACTAATGGCAAGACTCTGTCTCAAAAAACTAAAAAGAAAAAAGGAAAAAAAAGAAAAAAAAAAGGAAGGAAGAAAGAAAGAAAACTGGAGCCCAGCCTGGGCAACTTGGCAAGATCCTATCTCAAAAAAAATTATTTTGAAAAAGGACTGGGGATGTAGGGATGTAGGAGGAAGAGAGAGAGGAAAATTTAATAGCACAAACCATACCAATAGGTCAAAGGGGCAGGGAGAAGCTTGTCTTGGTGACAGGAAGACAACTGATAATCATTCTGATAAAAATGATTAGTAAAAAATTTCCTTAGCATGATTTTAAAGAAGAATTTATCTCCACTCCATGCCACCACCATGCTTAATGGCGTGAGGAGCAGTGGCCCGGCCGCAGTAGGGGAGATGCGTGGTCACCACTGCTCCGCGAGCACAGGAAGTGGAGGACTGAGCGGCCATCGGTGGATCCCATGAGCAGACACCCGCATGTCCTGTGGAGCAGCTGACATAAGGGACCAGTGGACCTCATACCAGAACAGGGGAAAAACCAGTCAGATGTGTGGTTACGGAGAAATAAGTGAGCAATTCCTGGAAAAACTGCCTCGCTCTGCAGCCATGTGCAGAGACGCTCAGTCGGGGATCGGTGGTGCTGTCTGTGAGATCCCACTGCAGGTGCACAAACTGGCAAAGATGACAAAGCCAACGCTGCACAGGATGGCAGGGCCACGGAGCAGAATCCCTCTGGCGCCACCAGAGGGGATGGCAGATGGGCTGAGCCATTGGAGAGGTGGATTTAGCCACATCTAGCTCAGGTGAAGACAAACCCATCACAGCCAGGCACGGGCAGCACAGCCCTCTCAGGTGTGGGGATGGCACTACACTGCTTCCTGCTGGTCACTCTCGGTCACTGTCACAACTGTTCTCATGTTCTCAGAGTCATTTCTTTAAAATGAGGCAGTTCTTCATACGCTGACTTAGAAATACCCAAAATGGATTGAAAAACCATATTCTAATATAAAGTGTATAACTATTTGTGGAGATGATTGAACAAACACTTGACATTCTTGAATATTTACCAAAAAAGTTTCAGGCAGGATATGTGTGAAACGTCAACAGGATTACCTTTGGAGAGTGGGCCTGGGAGCTGGGGAGACTTCTGTCCCTTTTTATTTGCTGGCTGAAACCCTAAGCATGCAGCATTTTTACGATTCAAGCTTAAGTACCACCATACAACTGGAGAGGAAGCAGCGAGAGATGAGAGAAAGCAGGGAACTGTCAAAGACAGGCCATGAGAACACTGTGAGCAGCGATGCCGTTCCCTTCACTTTTGAGGTTAGAAAATGTCCAAGTGAAAGGTGTCATGGTAAGTGACCACAGGAAAGAGTTTCAATCTAGTCTGTATCCCATGCACGGCTGTAGAAGGAAACCTAATGACCAATGTGCTCTAAGCCAAATGTAGGGGCAGAGAGGCCCTCCACAG